TACTCCTTGCTTCCACTTACAGGCTCTACATGCCATTTGTCTTCCTGTGACTGACTTATGTCACTTAGCATAATGTCCCCTAGCTCCACCCATGTTCTTACAAATGCCAGAGTTTCCTTCCTTTTAAGGGTGAGGAGTAGCGCATTATCTACAGATGCCACAACGGCATCATCTGTCCATGTGCAGGTGGTCACATAGGGAATTCCCTTATCTTGGCTGTCGTGAACAGTGCTGTAATGAACATGGTATGCAGATAGCTCTTCAACACACCAATTTCCAGTTCTTTGGACATACATCCTCGGAAGAGAGTGGCTGGTAGCTTCACCTTTAATTCTTTGAAGAACCCCATATTGTTTTCTGTTGTGGTCAGAGGTATTTACATTCCTACCAATGGAGTGCAAAGATTCTCTCTTCTCCATATCCTTGTCCACTCATCTTATTTTTTTTCCACAAAAACATCCTAATAGGTAGGAAGTGATATCCCATTGTGGCTTTGCTTTACATTTTTCTGGTGATTAGTGATGTTGCACATATACCTGCTGGCCATTTGTAGTTCTCCTTTTAAGAAATATCTATTTAGATCTTTTGCTCATTAAAAAAAACAAAACAAAACAAAACTAGGTTGCAATTCAGTTGCACAAATAGTAATCACAGATATGCAGTTTGCAAATATTCTCATCCATTCTGTAGGTTATTAAAAACTTTCTTAAGCAGATAACAACTCACTTGGAGAAACTTCTTTGGGGAAAGTGATCGTCATATTGTTAGGACACAGAAGTGCCCCAACCAGAGACCATGCTTCAACCTGAGCAGGTGTCCACTGAGTCAGCTCCTGAAGAGCTGGAAACCAGAAACTCTCATTTAGCTTTCCTTCTGAGATTATCCCTGCCCCAAAAGAGCTTCCTCCTGCATATCCGGCCTCCTCCCTGGGGCAGCCCACATTCAGCATCTGCTGCAGGCAAGGGTGTGACGTCCCAAACTCTTGTGTCACTTCCACACAACTGAGAAGAGCATCCCCTGCCCCCAGCTCCAGACACCCAAGGGACGAGCTATGGCCTTTATTTTAACCTTGACTTCTCCTTCTGCCTAATTCTGCTTCCCCTTTTGCCTTGGAGGGTTCCTAAGAGCATTCCTCATAAGCCTCTTGCAGCCAATCTCAGAATTCATTTTTTTCTGGGAACTTGACTATAATGCTAAACCAAACTGTCCAAGGCCAGCCATGGTGGCATGCGCCAGTGATCCCAGTACTCTAGAGGAACTGCCTGAGCTACATAGTGAGTTTGAGGCCAGCCTAGGCTACATAGTGAGTTCATAGATAGCCTGAATTACAGAAGGAGACCCTATCTCAACACAAACAACAACAACAAAACCAAAAGAACCCCAAATTCCAAATTGCCCTTGTGGATACACATGCTCACATTTAGGTGACATAAAGGCCAAATGGTGTCCGTCCCTCCAGTTCATAAATTCAAGTCCAAGCCTGAACTACCTCAGAATGTGACTGAATTTGCAGTCTTTATAGAAGTGGCTAGGCTAAAGTGAGGTTGTAAGGCTGGGCTAACCCAATAGGGTAGAGCCCTACAAAAACAGGGGGAAAGCTATATGAAGACACAGGGAGAAGACAACACCTACGAGCCAAGAACAGAGACCTTTCAGGAAAATCCATCCCTTCCCACACCTTGACCTCCATTACTGTAAGGAAGTGGCTTTCTGTTGTTGGAGCCCCTGCCCCATCTATGGTATTTTGTTACAGCAACACTCACATGGCAGGGCTAGAGCTCTTGCTGTGCTTAGCTCCCTACTCTTTCATCTTCACGCCTAAGGAACCACCTGGAACTCTGAACAGGTTAAATCATCTCTTAACGATAGTGATGCTGAGTGATAATTTTCACTAGAGTTTTCATGTTCCTTAAAAGCTGTCAGAAGCATCATATCTTTAGAAAAGTGATTAAAGAGAATGTGAATTACCCCCTCTTGATCTCATTTCCCCTTTTAGGACACTTAGATGTAAGTACATGGTGTAGATGACTACTTTGGACCTGCCTTGAACTTGTATTTAGTTGGGGAGGGAAGGGCAACATTTTCAAATTCCATCAGTTAACATTTTCTAGTCTTCTGTGACGCAAGTGTGGGGTTTGGCGTTTTGTTTTTAGCTACACCACAGCTCTCCATGCCAGCTGCTAGCCTCTCGCGCTCTTTGGGGGAGGAAGGGTAAAAACAACAAAGGAAAGAATTTCCTTTGCAGTCTTCCAGGTTTTCCACACTAGCCTGTTGATGCTTGCTACTGGGGCCTCAGTTAATGGTAACTAGCAGCTCTGAAAAAGGAACAAAACCAAACAACTCCAGCAGAAAGTGCCCCTGTGCCAGGCCCTCCTGCAATGATAGGTGAAAGGTGACCTTGTTACCTTGTGCTCACTTGCCTGTTGTATAGGGCACTGGGGCTGGCTTTTATCTGCTGGGCTTCTTGTGAGGGGCTTGCTTTTGAGAATATTTATGACTGTAGCACAGGTTTCTCCAAAGGGTTGTGCTAACTGTGGTGTCTTTATTGTTGCTGCTGGAACCAGAACCCCAAAGCCTAAGGAAGCTCAGCAGAGCCACCAAGCATAGCCTGCATCGGTGTCACAAGGTCCATCTGCCACCAGGCCTTTGCTCACTTCTGGTGCCCCCCCCTCCCTTGCAAGATTACTTGGAGCTGCGCGGAGTGGCCCTCCATGTAGCTCAGGTGTTACCAGAAACACCTGTTGAGGCCTTATGTGCTGGTTGCAATTCTAAGCAATTTACACTTTTAATCATCACAACAATCCCTCAGAGTGGGAGTTCTCATTCTCACTTTATGCTTAAAGAAAATGAGACACAAAGAGGCGAATTAACTTGTTCGAAGTCCTACTACTTGTTCGTGGCAGGGCTGCAGCTCAGCGATGGCTCCTGGTCCACATTTTAAAGCAACTGACTACTCCCTCAAAAGCACTGAAAACCTATCCTTGGGAATCACTTTAACATGAAATAAATGTTCTTGTTCACTAGGTGATAATGATCATTTAAAAATATTTACGTTCTACTTATGCTGGTATGAAGCGGTATGTGAGCACGTGAGCGTGTGCATGTGTGTATGGGACATAAAACTGAATGATAAGAGGAAAAAAAATCACAGATGCCTTGAATTACCCCACTCTTCATGTAGATAATTTTAAAGCAAATCAAAGATTTAAGGAGGTAGAATGTCTAGTTCTACCTCAAAAACCAAAGTCAAGAACCAGTATGTGCCAGAAGGAACACAAGGCAGTTGTTACAAGGACTCAAATGGAATGAAACGTTGGTTTGCTTAAGGACTTTTTTTTTAATTAAAAAGATTTTTAAAATGTATTTAGTACAGGGTCTACAGGGTCTCACTGTACAGATCAGACTCGTAGCGATCTTCCTTTTTTCAGCCTACCAAGCACTGGGATTACAAGCACGCCCCCACGCCCCGTCTCAGTCACTGTCTCAGCACGCCCTGGGGGCAGGGTCAGCACAGCACCCCAAGGATCCATCCCAGGTCCCTGTGTCTACCTAAGCAGGCGCTTTAATCCACTGACTGGCTGGCTGGCCCAGGACTTCTTTTCTTTCTCTGTTTTTGTATTAGTAAATCTGGCTGAGTAGGTATAAACAAATAGAAGATTAATTGTTTCACTATGCATATTCATGGTGAGTGGCTTGGGAAGCCACAAGTAAATGTAATTCATTCCAAGTTGGATTCATAATTTTCTTTGATTGAAGGTTCTGAAGGTACCTATTATGTGACAGATTTATGTTGTAGAATCCAAGAACTAAGAGAGATTTTTAAGAGGTAATAATTTACCTTAAACATCACAGTGATGTGAAAATCAAACTTGCTTCTAACAACTTCCAGGGAAACCCTTCTATGGTTTAGTAACATGCTTAGAGCAAATATTTGTCATTACATTTAGCTTATATCCTTTTCCTGCAAACAAAATATTGCCTCCCTTGGACTAACATGACTGCTCAGTGCTTTGTATTTGTTGATTTTGTGTACATACACACACACACACACACACACACACACTGCTTCATACTAGCAAATGTAGAACCTAAGTATTTTAAAATTGGCTGCTTCTCCATGTAATACAAACAACAGATGATTAAACTGAACAATAAGAAAATTAACCACTTTTGAGCACATTATTTTAAGTGCATCTTTCATTTTATCCTGTAAGCAATTGTCCTATTACCATTTAATGAATGTGGAAACAAATATCCCCAAAACCTCAATTAACTCAACCTCAGCCCAACTCTACCACCAAGACACATAGCCATGAATGCAATGCACCTTCCCATGCCATGATGCCTGGCTCCCTTGGAAGCCAAGTAATAGATGCAATTATATGTAACTTCTTCTATTTAATTTTCGTAAAGCTTTAGGAAACCTTGCTTGACCATTTAACCTTAATCCCACCACAGGCTAGGCTGATTTTCTTGTGCAGTTGTTAAATGGAAGTCAAGTAGTTCAAGGTGACTGGCAAAAAAAAAAAAAAAAAGTATTACCAGAAAATAGGTTAATCCCTTCCTCAGCCATCAGCTTCTGAACAGTTCATGACTAAACCTTCCAGGCCTGCTCACACAGTGAGTGATCCTGAGAGTAATCTTGTGCCCTACTTCGCTAGAAATTTCTCAGTGGAAAAGGATTTCCTATAAGCCTCAGGCTATTCCTGTAAAAAATTCACCTAGCAGCAACATCTGGCTATTCAAAGTTCATATATATATATAGATATATATATGCACAAACATATTCATATATGTATTCATATATATCATATACATTCATATATATTCACATATATTCATTTGTGTATTCCTGTATAAATATATTCATATATACGTATAATACAGTTGCAGACCTGTATAAGCATGGAACAGCATTCATATTGTTTGAAAGAAATTAATCTGCGTTCTACTGCAGAAGAGGAAATCACAAGATGTACGCTAGTTTTCGCACTACTCACCCTTGTCCACATCTTCCCCTGTAGAATGCTGGCGCTCCGGCGCTCCAGGAGGATAATTCCAGTGTTCTGGTATCCTGGCCGGCTTCCTCCTTTTCATAACTCCTCGCGAAGAATGTGCAACCTGCTCCTGCTGGCTTCTGGCATCATGGACTCACGCTCACGCAGCTGGAGACAAAAGTTAGAAACAAGAAGGTGGGTAAACTCCGGAAAAGGTGGGATGCTTTTGTCATTCAAGGATTGTATTGTGATTGTTGGAATATGCAAATCCATTGCCCCAGAATTCATCCATCCATCCATCCATCCATCCATCCATCCATCCATCCATCCATGCACTCATTCACTTATTCATGCATGCAATCATGGGGAGTATTCATGTCATTCCTGTTAAACTAACTTGAATTGATGCATAAAATATGGTCCTGCCCCCAAGGAGTCCACAGTCTAGTTGTGCAAATCGGAAATTGCGATGCTGTGAAGCTTGGCAGGCTTTCTGGTCAGCTACACCCAGGTCAGGAGAAAGCACAGAGGAAGGAGCCTTCTGTGGTGGCAGCTGCATGGTGCCAGGTAGACATGAGAGGATCCTTCCACAATCTGTCACGTCAGTCACTGATTTAGCTTCTTTTTTCTGTCCTCTCATCCCTATGCCCTTGTTATTCCCCTTTAAAACAATTTAATATATTGCTTTCTTTCCCTTTAGAGCCACCAAATATGCCTGACTCTACCCCTGGCCAGCAGCTTCTGAAGGTCACTTGAGCCATATGCTTTTTTAGTTTCCCAAAAAGGAGGAAAATTGATGTTTTGGAAATGTGGCTTTTAAATAGCTTAGATGCAAAGCCCAGAATTGGATTTTGTTTTTTGGAAGAATAATCAACTGGGCTTTTGGTAGGCTAGTTCTGGCCAATTTTTTTTTTCTTTTCATCTTCTCACAGCTGTAAGATTTTGCTTTGAAGTTGTGTGTGTGTGTGTGTGTGTGTGTGTGTGTGTGTGTTTATAAACTATCATTGAAATGTATAGTCTTAGAAAAACCTGATATTTAAACCCCATGGAATACACAGAACACTTTTTGAAAAGTAGCTATCTGAATCTCTGTAAAGTGAAGTGTTTCTCCTATCTAGAATAAAAATTCAAAATGAAGTGGAAGGGAAAACTGAAGTAAGGGTTGTGTCTGGCACAGAGTAGATGCTCAGCAAACTATATCCTGAAGCATCCAGCGGCCCTTATGAGGAAGAAAAGCCCTCCCAGGGCTGTGTTCCTTGGGCTAGGGAGTTAGTTTCCTTGGGCATCTCCCTGGGAAGGAAAGGCCTCCTGTAATTTTGGTTTGATAAACACAGTATTTATGATCATGGCGGCCAGCAGGGAAAGGAATTCTCCTCTGAGGCCCTTGCAGGAGCATAGTGATAGGACATGGGCCGGGACTCATTTGCTCGGCCTGACCCCAGGCACAGTCACCCAAGTATTCAGCCCAGACTGGGCAGAGAACCAGCAGGAGAGTGAATGCTGCAAGCAAGCTGCTCGTTTAACCTTGAGGACACATTTTAGCTGTCCGTGGTGTCTGCACTCGTAACAACTACCTGGAGCTGATTTAGTTTTGGGGATCCCATAAGCTATAGCACCAGAAATATATGGGGTGTGTGTGTGTGTGTGTGTGTGTGTGTGTGTGTGTTGTATTTCCCAGTGAAGGATTAATGAAATGTGTCGAACACACACACACACACACACACACACACACACACACTCCATATAAAACAAATGTTTAGTTTAACACACTATTATAAATGCCACCGCCACCCAGGATTACCACTGTGGATGACTGCCAGGATCCCCGCGGCTTTCTGAGTGTTCTTCCTAATGTCATCTCTTGCTTCCCCTTCAAGGCAGTACTAGCTCCAGCAGGGGACCCTGTGTGAGTCTCGGGGTTTGGAGCTCCGGCTTCATTCCTGATGTGCATCTCCCAAGTGGAGAGGACGCTAGAGGGGCAGAGAGACCTTGTGCACCTGGAAACCATTTTCCCCGTTCTAGACCAAGTGCCAAGTACTGGGATATTGGGAGTCCCTGCCAAGAATTCCAGGCCCACCAGTCTTCACAGGCCTTTCCTCAGGTCTGCCTTCAGGAGGGGTGGCCTAGGAGCGATGCCGGAATGCTGGAGTTATGTCCCACGGGGACAAAGAATCAAGCGGGGGCCACAGGAGGTAGGGTGTAAGCAAATTGAAGTAAGAGATATAAAGGCAAGGACTGAAAGTGATAAACGCGAGGAAGTAGAGCTCTGACTAGTGGGGAAAGGTCTTGAGGAGGATACCCACGAGACCGTCTGTTTAGGCGTTTTCAAAATAATATTTAGAAAGGAGTTCAGGCAGTTATAAAAGTGATATAGTCTGTAATCTACAGGAGACTACACACTTTTTAAGATCCAATCTATGCAGTGTTCACGCGGGGCCTGTGCAGGGCCCACGCACCCTTGAGCCGATGGCCTGCCTGATCATGCTCCAGCGAGGACTCTGACAGCCAGACACCTGGTGGATAGTTTTGTAAGCTCCCTGGCAGGTGGTGACTCAGCAGACTCCATTCTAGGGCCACTGTCCTTCCTGCCTCATAAAATCCAAATTCCTGCTTTGCTAATTCCTGTTATGGATGCAGATGCCTGCCAGAGGCCTTGGTGAAGGTCGGCCTTGAGGCTCCAGGCGTAGGCACAGATGGATGGGTGGGAGAGGAAGGCGGTGGCTGGGCCTGGCAGCCAATTCTACTTGCCTCCAATGTTCTCATGAGAAGACTTAAGTGATCTAAGGCACAGCATGGTCTTCCAAGTCCCCATGAAGAGATGTTTATCCAGGCAGCAGGACAGAATAACTTGTGTTCATCAGCTTCTTAGGACTAGTTATAATTCTGAAATATTTAGGCCCCTATAGTTCTTCACTGATTCACCCCACCCCACCATGCTAGGAATTAAACTCAGGGGCGCTCTACTGCTGAGCTATATCCTTGAACAGTTTTAATTTTTATTTTGAGACAAAATTTCTCTTAGTGACCCAGGTGAAACTTGAACTCATGATCTCCCTGCTTCAGACCCCCCAGAGCGCTGGGATTATAATGTGTGACATCCCTCATGCCTGGCTTCTGTTTGCACTTCTACTTTCTTTTCTTTTTTTTGGGGGGGGGGCTTGCTGGCTCAGCCCCACTTCAGGGCAGGGTTGGTGTGGCACGTGGTGCCGTGTATCGAACCGCTTAAGTTTGCCTAAGCAGGCGCATTAGACCGCTGAACTATCTCGCCCGCCTGTGTACTTGTACTTTAAAGCTCACAGTTTTTGTAGTTCTCCAAAGAAGCTTGAACATTTATTATTTGGAAGAATATTGATTCTTAGTTTTACAGAAATAATATCAAGAAAATTACATATATATACATATAGTATATATAGTTCAAATGAAAATGAAAACAATATATAGTACATACTACAGAGTTTTACTTATGCACAGGCAAAACAGTGCTGAAATATATTTACAGGTCCATAATTAGGAAATGTGGCAATTTTCTGTTCGAATCTTTCATTGGGGTGGACCTGCTCAAAGGTAACTGTGCTGATTTATAATCTTCTTGCTGTTTATGTTTCAGCCACTGATGTTTCTATTCCTGCATGGTCACTTTCCTTGTTTTGAATTTCATATAAACAGATTAGCGAGTTTGTGTTTTTTTTCCTGTGTTCTTTTCCATTCAGCATTATGTTTGCAAAATTCATTTATATTGTTGTCCTACTGGGGACCTGGCTAGGGTTTCCAACTGCCTGTATGAGGGGTAGGGCAAAAGGATGGAATAAGAAACAGGGACATGTTTAGTAATGCACAAAGGGTTTGGGCCATCAGGCCTCAGGATGGGCAGAGTCAAAGCCACTCAAAGCCAGCCACTATTCAGTGGGTGCACACAACGATAGGAGGGGCTAGTGGGAGATTCAGGGTCAGGGAAGACAGTGATCAGTGACTCGGGATTTATAATCCTGAGATGACTCAAGAGGGTGGAGAGGGGCTGGGGAGATAGTTCAGTAGAATAAGTGCTTGCCTGGCAAGCATAAGGTCCTGAGTTCAATCCCCAGTTCCACCAAAAGAGAGAGAGAGAGAGAGAGAGAGAGAGAGAGAGAGAGAGAGAGAGAGAGAGAGAGAGAGAGAGGAGATGACCCCAAGCCAGAAAGGATCTTGCCCCAGAGTGTTTTTTAATTTTACTGGTCTTGGTGGGAGAGCATGGCTCATCCCTAAAAGGTTAACGGGAAATCTCAGATGGATGGTACACCCCAAGCCCATTTATCCCTTAGGGAAGAATGCAAAATTAGCCCTTGTGAATTTGTGGTCCCCAACCTTGCCTTTCACTGCAGCTGGGTTTTCATTGCAATGTGATATGCTATGGGCAGATCAGCGTTCGTCATCACCACAGTAATGCTGATGGGCACTGGAGTGGTTTTCAGTACTGAGTTACCGTGAGCAGCACTGCTCTGGACGCGCTTATTTCCATTCGCTTGTACTTGGCTGGGGCATTGCTGGATGATAGACGTGCACATTTCCCCTTCAGTGGATAACACCAGACGTTTTCCGAATTTGTTTCATACCAAGGGACATGTCCCTCAGCGTGGTCTGACTGTCCTCATTGCTTCTCATCATATTTCTTTTTAGTTTCAACTATCTTATACTGGAAATAATTTGAATATGGCATCTTTTCTCTAAACCCTTTCTGGCTTCTCCTCCCTTTCTCTATATGAAGACACTGAAGTATGTGCAGTAACTTAGAGTTCCAAATTTACTACTTATAAGGTCAGTATGAAATATAAGAATAATATTTGTGTTAATACCCACAGTTTTTATTTAATATATGGCAGCTAAGAGAGGATTTGTAGCTTTGCTATAATAAAATTCAAGATCTAAAGAGAGTATAGTATTATAGTATTTATTTATGTGTGTGTGTGTGTGTGTGTGTGTGTGTGGCCAGCTCAGCCCACCAGGGGGCGGGGCTGGCTGGCATGTGGTGCTGGGGGATTGAACCACGGTCCCTGTGCTTTGCTAAGCTTGTTCTAAGTAGGTGCTTTAGACCACTGAGCCATCTCACCAGCCCAGTATTATAGTATTTTAAAATACCATAGAGATTAGCAGATGGGTGTAGGGGATGAGCCCCATGCCAGCTCTATGCAAAA